CATCCTTCCTCCGCGACTCCGCGCTTCCTGCTCCCGGCCCGGCGCCCGCGCTCCTCCGAGGTCCCGTCGCGGGGTCCACCCTGCCCTGCGCGCCCCCTCCCCGTTCTCACCCAAGGGCACACCCTTGTCACCTCCGCCTTCCCTCCCCACCTCCGGGTTTCCTCCGGAATCGCGGGCCTGGGGATGGGGTACGGTCTGAGCTCTTGGGTCGCACACTCCTTCCCTCTCTTCGCTTCGCGGGCGGAAAGAAGGCGGCTTTCTAGTGTCAGATGGTGCCTGCTCAGAGGACGGAGGAAGTTTGAATTGGCCCTAAAGGAGGGGCTGTGGGAACGGGTACCGTCCTCAAAGGCTTATCCTTCAAACGGGAAGCAGCCCCCGGAAACTGGACCCTCCCCAGGCACAGACTTTGTAAGGATACAGGAATACGTTTAGGATGACTTGAAGAGATAAGGGACAATCTCGGTGAGGGTGAAGGGTACAGGGCATTAAGGTCAAACTTGGATTCCAAGTCTTGACTTCCGTGACCTTGGATACGTTACCAAGCCTCAGCTTTTCTCTGTAAAATGGGGGTATGAGTCCCTCCTCACAAGATTTGAAAGGTTGAAAGTAGAAATATACCCTTTTAAGCACGTTACACTGTATCTGATGCAGTTTCCAACTAAATACAACCAGCTATTGTTTGTGGCTCTCAGGAGAGAAGAGAGTAGGTGAAAGGGAGATTTAAGGAATGTACTTGCCTGACTTGAGACCACCATGGTGCTCCAGAGAAAACCCCAGTTTAGGGGGAAAAATGAGCGGAGGGTGCTGTTGTGGGTGGGGTAGGCAGTATATTCTATAAGAATTCTGGGTTATTAGAGTGTTATTAGGAGAGGGATGATGGTTCAGCTGTAGGGTTGTAGTAGTCCCTGCCGTTCTCTGTTGACCTGCCAACACTGAACTGGTGGGGCAGAGAACTTTCCGGATGGAGCAGAAGAGTCTCCTGATAATTTTGTGCGTGTGCGTGTGTAGGTGTTTTGTTTTATGTTACAAGGTCTTGTGATACAGTTCACGTTGGCCTTGAACTCACTGTGTAGCCCAGGCTGGCCTAGTACTTGAAGCAATCCTCCTTCCTCAGCTCCCAAGTGCTGGGATTACAGGTGTGCGCCACCCCGCCTGGCTCTCCTGATCATTTTATTTATTTAGGTACTGTGTATTGAACTCAGGACCCTGTGCTTATGAGGCAGGTGTGGTGCCACTAAGCTAAATTCCCCAGCCTCTCCTGATCTTTTTTTTTTTTTTTTTTTTTTTGAGACATGGTCTCATTATGGAATTGAGACTGACCTGGAACTCACTATGTAGCCCAGGGTGGTCTTGAACTCACAGCAATCCTCCTGCCTCAGCCTCCTGAGTACTGGGTTTACAGGCATGTGCCACCACGCCTGGCTTTTTTTTTTTTTTTTGGTAATTGGGATCAAATTTGAGACCTTGGGCTTTTGAGGCAGGTGGCAGCACCACTGGACTAAATCCCCGGCCCTCCTTATCATTTTTAAAAGATTGTTTCACTTGATGGTAGTATTGATGTTTGGTATGAACTGGATCTGGAAAGATGGAGCAGGAAACATCAAATTGCCCTAACCATTTACTAAGTGTTTTAGGGAAATCTCTGGAGAGGTACAATCATTGGACTTGATGAGTAGATGGTAGAAGGATAGGGATTTTGGCAGAACAAGGATAGATAACTAATTAGTGAATGTAATTGAGAAAAGAGTTCATTAGCATATTGGGTATTAGATTCTCATAACAATGGATGTGAATGATGGGTTTGTACCTAGAGGCAAGCTTAAAGCCAACCCTCTTTTCCTTTTGTAAAATTGACAAGTATTTCTGGTCTGGGTTTTTAAACCAGATGTCTGCTAAGTGGAAAAATATGTCCCACTGGGATGATGATCACTCTTTTGATTAGAAAGATTAGAGGCTTACCAATTTAAGATTTCAATGGGCTGAGCATGGTGGCACACTCAGAGGCTGAGGCAGGAGGATCACTGTGAGTTTGAGGCCAGCCTGGGCTACACAGTGAGATCCGGGTCATCCTGAACTGCAAAGTGAGACCCTGACTCACAAAAAATTCCACTAGTGCAGTAGGTTTTAGGTTAATTGAATGCCTGTCTCAAATGATGTGCTGCTACCATGCTTAGAATCCTGTATCACTGAAGATGTAAAATACTTTAGTTTTCATCAGTATCTCCTCAGCTGCAAGAGTTTGAAAGAGCAGCTCTATTGAGGATTCAAGTTGTGTAGGGAGAAAGAGGAAGAGTAGAAAGGAAGTGGAAGGCTGGGGACATGGCTTAGTGGTTAAACGCTTGGCCAGGTTGCTCAAGGCCACATGTGGACCCTGGATTCTGTCCCCAGCACTGGGAAAAATAAAAGATGGGGAGAAGCTTACGATTCACACAACCACAGTTACATTTAGCTGTTTGGCAGTTTTACTTCTGCCTTTCTTGTTAATGAGTTTAATTTTTCAATTATCTGGCTTTGGACTCCAAGCTGACAAATCTTTTCAGAAGGTTAAGGCAGTCTAGAAAAATACAAGTTTTTTCTGGGTGTTGGGATAAGACTTTATTTGAGACACTTATTAAAATGATCTTAGAAGATAATATTAGGTTGAACCAAATGAAATTCCATTTCTTTAGGTCAAAAGCAGTGGTATATCGTGTGTTTCCTATAGTTCAATCTAATACATTTTCAGATAATGATATGCCTGCTTTATGACAGAACAGAGAGTGGCAATTTGTATTTCCAGGTTTAATTTTTTTGTAGTCCTTGCTTTTGATCTATACTCTTTGTGGCTCCATGCTTAAGAGCTAAAGAGTAATTGTTACTCCAAGAATATATTACAGCTGGGCCGGGGATTTGTCTCCATGGTTCTGCCATCTGCCTCGCAGGCACAAGGGCCCGAGTTTGATACTTGGTACCAAAAAGATTTTAAAAAAGTATATATTACACCTGTATTCAGAAATAAGTATAGCTGGGTGTGGTGGCACACACCTGTAATCCTGGCACTGAGGAGGCTGAGGCAGAAGGATCACTGCCAGTTCAAGGCCAGTATAAATTACACAGTGAGTTCAAAGCCAGCCTAAACTACATAGCAAGACCCTGTCTCAAAAAACTAGAAAGAAAAGAAATAGACTTGAATTTAAAATATTTACCTAAGCCAAGCGTGGTGGTGCAGGCCTGTAACCCCAGCACTCGGGAGACTGAGACAAGGAGGATCGCTGTGAGTTCAAGACCAGCCTGGGCTACATAGTTCCAGGTCAGTCTCAGCTACATAGTGAGACCCTGTCTCAAAAAACAAACAAACAAACAAACAAAAAAATAGCAAATCCATAGTACTCCTAGGTACTGTACTCTCGCCTGCACAGTCCCTTTACATTGTAAATGTGGCTGTATTGGATGTTGGAATGATACATTTTTATTAATTCACAAGTGGTGTTTTATATCAGCAGTTTAAAATTAGAAGTTAGAAGGACTAGGGGCAGAAAGTGTGAGAGAAGTGGTAGATTTGAAAAAGGAAGAGGAATAAGGTCTGGTGGCCCACATCTGTTATTTTTTAATATTTGGTAGGCTGAGGCAGGAGAATCCTGAGTTTGAGTCCAGTTTGAGCTATAGTGGGTTCAAAGCCACCCTGGATTACATGATGAGTCCTTATCTCAAAAAAAGGTGGGGTTCATGGAATGCTAGATATTTCTTCTTTTCTGCCTCTCCCTTCCCAGCCTGCCTGTGGTTCTTTCTTTAATCATTTGTCTTACCTATGATGTTGAGATGTCCCTCTTCTTTTCAGGGTGCTGAAGAAAACTTTGAACTTATTTATTATCTTTTTAATTTAAAAAGAAGATCTAAGTAAGTTCAGGGTACTTTCAGTATTCCAGGCTGACTAGGTCCTCTAACAGATAACAGAAGTTAGTTAAGCATCTGAGTAAGTGCAGGGTGCCGTTACACGGCAGGGTTGTGTGGTTACTGACCTTTGTGAATTATTAAAGCCATAACCAGTTTGAGAGTGATGCTTGTGTGGGTAAGGGTAGTGTTCGTGCATGCATTAATTAAACTTTACTGAAGACTTTTTCCACTTAAACTAATTTTTCTCTTTTTTCTTTCATAAGAAAGGAAATGGGGAAAAGTTTTTCCAGTTTGGCCTGCTGAGGTGCCAAGAAAAGTTTGAT